GTTCCCTGACTGCCCCCCACCGTCCAATCCAACCCCTCCTCTCATTCCTGACTGCCCCCCCAGGACCCCTGCCCCCATTCAACCCGCCTGTTCCTTGTCCTCTGACCGCCCTGCCCCCTAACTACCACCCCGAACTTCCCTGCCCTCTATCCAACTCCCCCCTGCTCCCTGCCACCTTACAGTGCTGCCTGGAGCACCAGAGCACCAGGACTGGAGTCAGCCATGCCACCGCGCAGCACAGAGCACTGGGTCAGGCCGCAGCTCTGCAAGAGCCCCACCGCCGAGAGCACTGGGCCAGCTTCCTGGGCCAGGAGCTCAGGGGCCGGGCAGGAGGGGCCCACAGGCTGGATGTGGCCTGCGGACCGTAGTTTGTCCACCGCTGATCTAAGGCATTTGCACTATTACTAAGGGCTGCTATAATCACCATTATTAAAACAAACATGTCACTAGTTTAACTAAATTGGTGCAACATAACATCTTTAATTATACTATACCAGTGCAACTTCATGTGTAGACCAGCCCCATGTTTATTTGTGAAAAGTACTGTATGTATGGAAGGCTCTCATATGGGTTAACTGGCTTTTTTGGATTAAACTTCTTGTTTTGGGCGAGTTGTGGGGGCAAATAACTCTTGGAAAAATGTCTTCCTTGCTCCCAGTTTCAATTCACAGTCATCTTGAGTGGCCACATATTCCATTTGTTTCTGTTTTAAACTCCATCACTCTTTGCTGTCTATTTAAAAGATGCATTGCAGTGAGAAAGTGGAAGTGAGAAAGGTATCTGCTTTCAAGATGGTAGTCTTGTTATGTATTCAGATACAATAGTCTTTCCTTCTTACTTGAATCTGGCAACATCACCTCTGTTGCTAGTGCTTAATTTGTGCCAGGGCTGAACCCCAGCACCTCTAGGCTTGGCAGTTCATAGCCCCAGCACTCTGAGCTTGCTGCATCAGTTATGAAAGTAAAAAAATGGCTTGAGCCATGGCACCTCTCTCTTTATAAATTAAGCAGTCTGTAGCGTGCTTAATTCAAGGCTCCCATGTGAGTGTAGGTAGGAGGTACTTCTGAGTCACTGAGATGGCTGGGATTATACGTCAGAACTTTCATATTTTGGCACAGTAGTAGAAGTGGGCCGTCTTTTACGGGTGCTGAGCAGGTTCTACTGGAGGAAATGTGATGACACCTCCAAATCCCAACTTCAGTAAAATTGGGTGAATTATGAATTTATGAGCACGGCTTCAGGTATTTACAATTCAAAATTTGGCCATAATTTGTAATTCAAGTGTGTGTGTGTGGGGAAATCTTATGAGGTGAAAATGCCGGAAATATACACTCCTAGATATTGTGCCATTCAACTCTACACTTGATTTTCTGAGTATTTTGGCTCTTACTGTTGAGTATGTTGCATTCTTCAGTGCTAGTACGCCCTGCCTCTGACCACAACTCAGATTTATATGTGCTATGCATATAGCTCTCTGTATGGAAAGTATTCAAACATACTTGTCTAACGTGTTTCCAGCTGAGTGCATAAACTGTGTATAATCATATATTGTGTTTAGGTAATACGTCTGAGGGCTGCACCTGCTAGCCTGAGCTTGCTGTCCATCCAAGTATATGCTTCATCCTTGAAGAAGGAAACTCCAAAAAAAGAGTTGCTAAAAATTGATGAGGTAAGACCCTACCGTTCTGGTTGCATTCATAGTGTTTTGGTGGCGGTGGAGTAATGTTAGCAAATTAAGAAG